TTTCTCCACAATACGTGCCTATGATAAAGTGTAATTTACACTTTAGGCACAGTAAGAGATGAACAAATAGTAAAACAGAACATGTGTAACAATACACTGTAATGAAAGTTATATGAATGTGGTCTCTCTCAAGATATCTTAGTGTACTATGCTCCTCATTCTTCTTGCAATGTGAGATGATAAAATGCCTACCTGATGAGAGGACGTGAGGTGGGTGACACAGCATTAGGCTACTACTGACCTGACAATTTCAGGTGGAGAATCATCTTCTTTAGGTGATCCTGTGTCATTGAGCCATGACAATGTCGATGGTGGACGGTCAGAGGCAAACGATGGTGATGGTTGGACATCCCAGGTACAGCACAAGATTTCATCATGCTACTCAGAATGCCCCACAATTTAAGACATGAATTATTTCTGGAATGTTCCATTTAAAATGTTTGGACTGCAGTTGAATACAGAGAACTGAAACCAGGAAATGCAGAACTGTGGATAAAGTGGGACTAATGTATAGACTGTCATTTATAAATGCGTCCTGAACAATATATTGTTTTGCCTAAGTAAAAATTGTATAGAAGTAGAATCATCCCTTCTATATTTCACCTTGCTGTCTTCATGCTGCGTTATGGTTGTGTGGTTCTTCTATTGTTGCACCTAGCTGTAATTTGTCCCTTTTCATGGCTGTATAGTATTCCCTTGGGTGAAGTTAACACAAGAAATCTAATCTATTGTTCATAGGTGGACACCTCGCCCCACCCAGCTCTTAGGTAAGTTTCATGTGTTTTATCATGAGGCTATTGTTAGGAGGAAACAGCAAGTTAAAGAAGTCAAGTGCTTTAAGAGCCCAGCACAGGAGTTAAACAGCATGAGTTTGAAACCTGCTTCTACCACCACTGTGTGAGTTGGGCACAGTAATCTCTGGGCCTTGGTTTTCTCATCAGTAAAATAAGAATAGTTTCTATTTCAGGGTCATGATAATTCAGTAAAACAAATACATGTAAAGTAGTTAAAAGTCAGTCTGGTCCATTCAAATACTTTCAGTTCAGGAATGGGTATGGTGACTTTATCTTACTCCATATTCTATGTGCTGTTTGAATTTTCCATGAGCCTATGCTACTTTTATAATCCATTAAACACAAACCTTTGCCCCACAGCTCTCTATCCTCAGCCTGAGGCCCTGAAGTTCAGCAAAAGTACAACCATGAAGGGACACCCCAGGCGAGCCCTCACCCCAGAGGCAGAGCTGAGTCTAGTCCTCCTGAGCAGCCAGCTCTGGCCTGGCCCAGCCTCCCAGGCAGACATTATCTTTGTTTGTTTTTTCAATATTTGTGTTTATTTGACTGCACCGGGTCTTAGTTGCAGTGGGCAGGATCTTTTAGCAATGGCCTGCAAACTCTTAGTTGCAGCATGTGGGATCTAGTTCCTGACAAGAGTTTCAACGCAGGTCCCCTGCATTGGAAGCTTGGAGTCTTAGCCACTGGACCTCCAGGGTATCCCCCCACAAAGGCATTATCTGCCCCATCAATGCCTCTATGAAGAGGACAGCCAGCCATGGAGGAAGCAGGGGAATGCCAGCACACAGGAGGACAAGGATGGCATACGACTCCCACTAGGGTTCTATATCCTTGTTCCACTCCTGCCACCATAGGAGTCGCTCAGCCCGAAGCTCTCCAGGTTACAGCGTCCTCATCAGCAAAATGTGGGAAGAGAGGGCTAGACAGGAAGAGCTCCAATATCTTTTTCAGTGAATTCCTGACACCTGAGGATTTTGGCTAACGCTGCTGAGGAGCTAAAGAAATCAGCTCGGGGGGCTATTTCCTGTCATAGTTGCCTCCTTGAGAAATGCCCCAGGAGGTGGCTGCACCAGCACAGTCAGTCTTACCGGCCTGGCTGTGGGGAAGCAGTCAACACGCTGGTAGCAAATAAGGGCCGTGGCAGGAGGCTCTCCCCCTGGATGGGCCCTGTTGGGAACGACTGCATGCCTGTCCACTCAAGTGCACACCAATTAACCAACACTCCTATTGGGAAGGGAACTCCTTCTAAAACACACATCATGGCTTCCAAGGAGCCAGCTAACACAACCCTGCCTGCTCCAGTTTCCTCAATCCAAGGTCACTCTGGCCCCGGCTCCGTGCAGGAGGCCTCTGGGCCCTGCAGCCTGTCCCTTCATTTCTCCTTCCCTTTGCCCCATAATTAGCCGTCGTCATCTTCCTGGGGAGCGGAGGGGCAGGGGCCATCGGCGGTGCCACAGTTCACGTTGGCCGGGGTCCAGCTTAGATGATACATCCCATCACCCTCCACACCCCCTCACTTCCTCTCGGATGGATATGTGAAGCATCTACGAAGTCAACAGCTGCCGCCTCGCACCCTGAAGAGGGCGGTGAGGTAATCCCCGTACTTAGCCCGACAAGGGCCTGGGGGAGAAAGGGGCTCTGTGTGCAGGAGAGTGCGTTACTGTGTTTCTCCGGACTTCCAGGAGCAGTCCGCCGATGGCCCGGCACCGGAGAGAGATGAGAAGTTGACCGGGTTTTCTCGCCTCCACAAAAGCAGCTTTCATCCCACAATAGACTCCAGATTGCAGGGGAGATTTCACCACACAGCAGCGGAGACAAGAAACTCTGTTGACGTCCTGGAGCGCCCCACCCCCACCCACTTCTGAGGCTCCCTCTGTAACCCAGAAGGCTCAGGACAGACGCACGGAGCCTAAGCGCGGGGACGCTCGGGTGTTTGAGGCTGGAGGAGCAGGGTCAGTGTTCAGACGTGGCCGGGGGTGGCCCTGAAAGAGCAGGCTGTCGCCCGGGCCGACGGGGGGCTCTGTGACAGGGCCGTGGGGACTCTCCGAGAGCCACCGTGGCGAAGGTGGCTCCATCCGGTTGGCAGATGACGAAGGCAAAGTCACCTTGGCTGAGCCCACCTCAGTGTCAGGCCCCCGACGACCATGAGAAGAAACAAGAACTCAGTGTCTGAGGCAGCAGCTGGGCACCCTCCCCACCAGCCCTCCACATCCTGAGTCTCCGCCACGCTTACCCAGAGGGCATGCTGGAGGATAAGGATGTGGGACAACAGGGCTCCTTGCCACTTAACTTCTCAGGAGGCAGCCACGGTAATGATCAATTCAGCCCTGTGGTTTGTTGTTTTTTGTTTTTTTTTTTACTTCTAATCTAAGTCAAAATGCCCACAATTCCAGTCTTACCTTGTGGGATGAAGCCAAATCCAAGGGAGGGTTGGTAAGAGCATGGTATCCAGGGTGGCCTTTTGTTGTTTTTTGACTTTGAAATTTTATTACTAAATACTGCCTCAAAGAAAATGTTTTATAGTATTGAACACAAAATTATATAAGCAATAGCACCACTCTCTCCAGTAGTAATCACTGCACAGTTCTTATGCACCCTATGAGATCTTGGAGGTGTACTTACATAGGCTCTTCTCCACCCCCGATTTGTTTTCCCTTCAGAAATATTACATACAGTAGTGTTAAGTGGTCAACTTTTGTAAACATAACTATCTGTGGCAGGGTCATTTCACTAACCCCAAGCACATCATGCTGTAGAATAACAGGGAGCTGGGAGAGTGGTGTTAAGATTTCAGTTCTTTCAAGTGAGTCCAGTGTTTAAAAAACACTTTTCCTCTAAGTTCCTAAACTCGAGGCAAGTACTTCATCTGGAGCTCAAACAAGGAGGCGGTAATCCGTTCCAATGCTGAGGAGCACTAGACATGCTGAGGAGCACTAGACGTGCTGATGGTCACACAAGGGCAAGTGAGGCTCCAATGTGACACCTTCCCAAAGGGTTTAAGAGCAATCTGGAATATGTGCCATTTTGTCTAAAGCTCCTCTTGAGACCCGCCCCCCGAAGAATAAGATGATTCTGGGTGATACGCAATTCATGTTTCTCCCCATTTAGTTTATCTTGGGAGTTGTTCCAAATCAGAATCTATAGATGTCCTGTTCTTTCAGTGCTTACCGCAAGCTAATTCACCGCATGAATGTACGGGATGTTCTTCGCAAAGAGTTCTATTTCCATCCCATAAAGAAAGAGAAATGTCACCAATTTAAAAAAAAACGCACACAAACCAAGAACAAATTTACAAACCAAGAATATAACATTTTATTCATTTCCAGATTATGAGCGCTACACAGCATATACATATATTTAGATAATATATAAAACAAAGAACAAACCGTAGGAAGAAATATTGGTCTGAAACTGCCTTACGGGACCATCTTTAATTCTGTAAGTTCGTGGTAAATCTATCTCCCCACACATCAAGGCAGGCAGCGAGATAAACTCCAGCATTCACGTATCAAAGGACGGCTTATCCCCCACTGTACTTACAACGCATGGCATAGTCACTGGTGTCCACAAGGGATGCCAAGCAGTAGGTAAAAGAACCACAGCACAGTGAACTAATATAAATATGTTTTTTTTCATTGTCCTCCAGATAGTTTCCTTTTTAAACTAAGAGTCATTTCCAGGGTCTATCCCTTGAGCTGCATTCCAGTTATTGCTGAAGGGGAAAAAAAAAAAAAGAACAAATGCATCAGTTTAAGTTATTAGAAAATAGATGGTCAATGGCAGTGGCCCCCTACCTCTAGGGGACACTCAAGGGGATGCTGGCTCATGGGGCAGTGCATATGTGTCAGCAGTGGGCAGGCCCAGAAGCACCCGTCATCATGCCAGAGGGGAGGGGTTGGCTGATAGTAACTGGGACTGATGAAGAGGTTCAGATGGAAGATATTCGGCAAGTAAGGTCTGGGGTCAGGAAGGAGCAGGATGCCCCCCAAGAGGGGCAGGGTCACTTCACGGAGGTGAGACAGCAGCTCATGGGATTATTCCTGACTCCCTGCTGGTGGCAGACCTAAGAACTTCTGATGTAAAGGCCCTCCATGCTCCATGTCAACAGAGAGAGGCTCTGCACCTAGCCTTGTAGAACAGAGCCCTTTTCGGGGCACAGCTTCTCCCACTCACTACCTGGCCTTCCTCTGAGGAAAGCCGGCTCACCTTTGCCTTGTTCTGAACTGGGAGATACAGCTTGAACTCTGCTGGCAGTTCGTCCTCTGAGTAGAGTCTGTCTGAGAAGTAAACCCGTCGGATGCGACAGTTTGCATGGATCTGTGAATGTAAGACTTAAAATAAGTCTCTTAAAGTAAGAGGCAAATTATGACTGTCTTTCCTTTTTTTCCTGACTCTCCTCCACCCCCCTCACCCCGCACGGCGCTGTCACAAGCATCATCTCTTTGGCATCTCCTCAGCTTGGCTTAGGCGGAGATTCTGACAAGCGGGAGATGTTGCTTGTTGTATTCTCCACCATGAGGCTTCCCTGGCGGCTCAGCGGTAAAGAATTCGCCTGCAATGCAGGCGATGTGGGTTGGGTCTCTGGGTCAGGAAAACCCCCTGAAGGAGGGCATGACAACCCATTCTAGTATCCTTGCCTGGAGAATCCCGTGGACAGAGCAGCCTGGTGGGCTACAGTCCACAGGGCTGCAAGAGCTGGACACAACTTAGTGACGACATCACCCCCACACTCCCTGCTATTACTGAGCAGATGCCTGAACAGGTCCTGAGCCTCTGCGGTGAAAGCCCCCTGAGCGGTGCCTTGGGAACTTTAGCCAGAAAGCCACAGAGTTCTGCCACCTAGGTCACAAGCCAGGTGACCCTCTCCCGTTTGGGGCTCCCTCTGGAAAAGGAGCCAATACCTGCACCCTGAGGGTCTCAATGTAATTTGTGCCATAGGCCCGCCGAGTGAAGTCTGACAGGTTGAACTGAATCTGGTTCCAGCCGTCATCCAGCCGCATGGGCATGGTACAGATGAAGGGCTTGACCCGGGTGGTGCTCTGGTAGTTGCTTGCCCGAAACCGCCGACGCACATTCTTATCATCTAGTACCTACGAAATATGGAGAGGAAGAATCACAGTAATTCCATCTTGGAGCAAACAACCTTGGTAAGATGAGGACCTGAAACTCCCACAGCCTGGTTTCCCAAGGCTGAGACCCAAGGGAGAATAAACAGACCCACATGGGTCGCACTGGACGCAGATGGCCCGGAAACAGTGAGTTTATCTTGTCTGTTGCCAGGACAACATCAGCTGCTTATGACATATGACACATGCATCAGGCCCTCAGACCATAGCATGATTCCACAAACATTCTTCCCTTTGAAAAACTAAGAATGCTGGAACAGAGACCAACAATAGCCAGCCTGATATTAAATAGTAACTTCCCAGATACTCTTCCAATCCTCAAGCTTTGAAACCTTAGAGCTATTGATTAGATTTTCTGGATGCGTTGCTGCTTCTTTTAAAACTTGGCATGAAACTCGGATTACTACTACTGAAATTATGTCATAATAATAATGGCAGAATCAAGTGTACGGCAGAGGCAAAAGGAATACATTCAAAAGGATAAAGATACTTTCCTACGGTCACTTTTTTCCCATAAATTGACCGGCCACCTCTCTGGTATAGCCGAGAGTGTACAGATTCACATGCATATGCTTACCTGTACTTCAAAGGTAAAATACTTCTTCAGGTTTTTGATGATCATGACAAGGAAGGGAAGTTTAATTCCCAGCGTTTTCTTTGGGTCTGCAGGACACGTGATATACGTGGTGCTGTAGAAAGAGGAAACACCAGTAAACACACCACCAGCCTCTTCCTCTGTCACAGGCACAGCAGTAAACACTCAGCCCAAGAAGGTAAGCTGGAAGGCAGATCTGAAAGACCCAAAGATCCCTCAACCCCTAAGTTAAGCTAATGCTTCTAAAAAAAGTGCCAGACTCTGAAACAAAAGCTTAACACAGCACTAGACATCAACAAGAAAGTATCTGAAAAGCAAAAGCCAGGCCAGCAGATCGGATGAAGTTTTTCCACACGTGAGAAAAGATTTACTTCTGTTCTAAGAAACTATTAAGTGATAGAAAACCAAAACCAAGACCATTGTAACACTGAAAACTATGCTGACCACCCACTGGATGATTCCTGTAATACCCTCACCTCCCCCCAAACACACTGGGGTAACTAAGACCTACCCAGCCCTTACAATGTGCTAAGCAGGTTTTATATATATTCACTTATTTAATCTTCACAATAATTCTCTAAGGAAGATGTATTGTTCTTATTCCTATTTTACAGATGAGGAAACTGAAGCCTGAGGGATACAGAAACTTGTGCAGGGTGAGCCCTAAGTAGCGGAGTGGGATTTACACGGGGCAGTCTTGCTCTGCAGTCCCTGTTATTAGCCTCTGTGATGTACTGCCCCTGGGCATACAACGTCTCTGGGACAACAGATTGGCAACCTACCTGACATTTGTTCCTTCAATCTCTAGCACCAGGGACTGGATGTCATTATCAGTGATTCTTTTGATGTGGCCATTCCGTACCTACAAGGGAGAAAATTAAACTGGTGAGTACTGAAATATTTGGCAATAATTTTGTTAAGATTTCGAAGGCTGAATGCAACTATTTAAACTACAGTAGCCCAAAAGGCATTAACACAGAAGTTTGTGACATGATATCTTGAAGTTTATATGTAAATAAGCCATGCAATTACCTCTAGACAGGGCCCAATCAACCACCACAGGAACTGCAGATAACTGGGCCATCTCTAAATCAGGACCAATTTCTTCCCAAAGAAATCAATTCAATTTCAATTTAGCTAATGTTTACCAAGTGTCTGCCAAGCAGTAGGAACAGTCCTAACAAAAACAGCAATCTTAGTCCTAACAAGACCAACAACAAAAATCACAAGGTCAGACTTCCCTGGGATAAGACTCTGCCTGCCAATGCAGGAGACACAGGTTTGATCCTTGGTCTGGGAAGATTCCACGTGACGTGGAACAACTAAGCCGGTGAGCTGCAGCTATGAGTCTGTGGCTCTACAACCCAGGGGCTGCGGCAACTGAGCCCCCGGCTGCAGCTACCGAAGTCCGCGCAACGAGAGCCTGTGCTCCACGGCGAGAGGAGCCACCGCGATGGGGAGCCCGTCCACTGCCAGGAAGGCTGGCTCCTGCTCGCTGCAACCACAGAAAGCACGAAAGCAGCAGTAAGGACCCAGGGCAGCCAAAGATTAAACAAACAAATAAATGTTAAAAAAAAAACACACAAGGTCATTGGTGGTGTTTCCACTTGACACCTGTGGACACTGAGAGGCAGGGAGTGCAGATGACTCCCTGTAAGGACTCCTAAGTAAGGAAGGCAGGAGTAACAACCAGGCTTTCCACTGCCCGATACTGCCTCACACAGACAGTTCTGTGGCCAGAAAGGCCAAATGCTGAGTGTCAGCGACAGGGAGGGTGGCAACCCAAAAGTGAACATATTATTCCCCGAGGTTTACTCCGACTTCTCGCTTCCCTATCTTTTCCCTAAGTTTCTACTTTTTCAAGTATGAACTCAAGTCCCATCTGAGCCGCACACAGAAGCCTTCTTTAGCATTTTCAGCCTACACTGACCTCTCTTCTCTGGTTTGTTTCCTGGCTCATGCAGCCCAGACTACATAATTTAGCACTTCTGCCTACATTGTTTTGCACTGTTTGCAGCATATGTAGGGGTATATGATGCAGAGGAATCATTATTCAGTACGGACTCCTCCTCTCAAAAATTATTTAGGAAAGCACAATTATCTTCAAGTATTACATTCGAGCACTTTATATGGACAGAACATAGACACACGAAGGCACTTCTGGGATGGGGCTGGCCTCTTTGGGCTGAATGTATTAACACATGAAAAAGATCAAGCAAGGTTAGAACTGCATGCACCAGAAAGGTAAGCATGCGGCCTCCTAACGGGTAGAGGGAAACAGCTGCCTGCGTTGTCACAGTCAATGACTCATCACATGGCTCGCCGCTAGACGAGAAAACCACATCGACTCTGACAGTCACACTGTTCAGCATGGGTTATTGGTAACACGGCATTCTGTCTTGAGACCTCAGTCTCTGTGAGCTTGGTTACTGTGAACTTGATCCACATGTGGTGTGCCTGGTATTCCCCAGGTGACATCGGGTATTACTGCCCATCTTTTTCTGCGAGATGTAACTGAGTCTTGTCGCCTCAAAAAAGTATAAGCTCAAGGGTAAGGATAGAGTATGAAACCTTGTTTGTATGTTCTACAATGCTTAGTACTCGGCTAGGCATAAACTAAGCATTCAAATATTTGCTGACTTCTGGAATTTGTCACGCTAAGAGTTGGCACATCTGAAGAGATTCAAGGAGGGTTTTTAAAAAATTCCTGGATGACATATCCACCATGAACTATTATGGGAGGCTAGAGATCCCAGGGTATATCGCAAAGACAGTGCAGTTGCCAGCATCAAGAATGCCTTCCCACAGATCCCCCTTCGGGACCCATTGTCAGAGACAGAATTCTGGGTGCATGGGCCCCGGATCTCTGCCAGGGCAGCATTTCTGGATTCTCAAGTCACAGACATCACATTGAAGTGCTTCTCAAACAAAGCTGGCAACATCCAATGCCCTCCTGCTTTGAAATCTGGGCCTCTTTCCAGAGGAGATTAAGAGCACAAAGACTTGGATCTGTGTGGCACATGCCAACACTGCCCACCTCATTCCCCATATAAATGCTCCCAAAGTGGCAATATTCCTCCTCTATTTGCTAGCCTACAGCTGCTGTGGAAAATCAGGCTGACTAGGTGGTAAAGGAGGAATTCATCCAGAAATTTTTCCATATACTATGATGTAGTCACATTGATAAGAGCTGACTGTACCCCACTAATTTTATAACACACTACTAATTATTCTCTGAAGAGTAACTTCATTCTTAAAAAGGTACAGAAGGCAACAAACCAAACAGATGGTTAAAAACAAAGAATTAAGTAATCAGGGTCCAGAAACTACTATTGCTAAAAGGCAACATGTTGCAATTTATCCAACATTGTTTAAAAGTGTGACCTCCTGGACTTCTCTGGGGTCCAGTGGTTAGGAGCCGGAACTCCCAATGCAGGCCGCCTGAGTTGGATCCGTTATCAGGGAACTAGATCCCACATGCTGCAACCAAGAGTTCACTTGCCACAATGAAAGGTCCCTGGTGCTGCAACTAAGACCCGACACAGCCAAATTAAAAGGAAAAAAAAAGCAGCGTGATCTCAGATCTTATATCCTGGATGGCCTCTTAGATCACAGTGGACAGGAAGCCTCCCTCAGCTCCAGAAAACTCAGCCAGATTACACAGGGAGGAAATGTTAGGAAACTTGCCTTCTGCCCATCTCAAAGTTTACAGCATACGACTTCACTCCAGTAAATGTGACCACTCAGGTCTTTACAGAAGAAAACAATGCCTTATACTGCAAGCAGAAGCCAACAGACTAAAAGCCAAAACAGACTTTGTGTATTCTTATAGACTTCTGGCCCAGAGGCAAATTAAAGTTGGATTGTCAGAGCTTAAGAGTGATTGCAAACACCTCACATCAACATCCACACTCACAAACTTAATTCTTACAAAATTAGTTAATGCAGCCCATGAAAACTCAAGAACCCAGAGGAGAAAAAGGCAGTTTTTTTGAAGGAATACCCACCAGTCTCTCTAGAGTTTTAACTTGCCCAGTGGTGAGAAGAGTCTAAATAGAGCTTTGCCCAAGAACAAAGTTCAATCCTCAAAGAAGAAAAGCACAGGTATTGTCATATCACAAACTGCCAGAGCTTTAAAATCAAATTGAGTTGATTTCTTAGTGAATTATGATTTTTCTTCTTCATTAAGTTTTAAGCGCTTGTAGATACAAATTCACTGGAAGAAAAGAGTGGAGTGGGGATGGGGTGCAATTAACCAGAGATATGAGCAGTTAAAGAGTATGAAACCTCCCAAAACCTTTCTCTAGGCTCTCAAACTAGGATCAAAGGAGAAAGAGAAGTGGTCAATTTGAGGCAAGGCCTCCCAACACCCTGGCAATCTGGCTGTCACTGCCTTAGCTTGTCAAGGTCTTCCAGGAAGCAACCCCCTCCCCAGTCCAGCTTCTGACAAACATGGATACTAAGATACGTGGCCTCAGAAAGCATCAACTTCCTTTCCTTACCTCCTTCCAGTTCAGAGGCCACCAGGCAGGCCTCACTGTGAAATGAAGATAAAATGAACTGGGTAGCATTTATTGCTCATGGTGTAAGTAGGTTTTATTTTACTTCTTTCATCTAAATTAGAAAGTATCTTTTGTTTCTGAATTGCTGTGAGTGTGTGCTCAGTCGCTTCAGCCTTGTCCGACTCTTTGCGACCCCATGGACCCAGAGCCCACGAGGCTCCTCTGTCCATAGGATTCTCCAGGCAAGAACACTGGAGTGGGTTGCCATTACTTCCTCCAGGGGATATTCCTGACCTAGAGATCCAACCTGCATCTCCTGCATTGCCGGTGGATTCTTTACCACTGAGCCACCGGGAGAGCCCTCTGACTTGCTAATTCTTTTTATTTCATGACACGTTCCTATAGTGTGACCTATGAGTGTTTCATTCCTCCAAAATAATAATAATAAAAAAATAAAGCCAATCTTACACATTTTAATTTCAGGAACACCTCCCCTCCCACCCCCACTCCCACCCCCACCCATGAGCTGGAGGTACTTCAGAAGCTTCAGAACCCCAGGCTACTGACAATTAGCAATCAGAATGAGTCTCAGCCTCTGCAGACAGCAAAAGGGAGCCTTCAAGCCCTTTTTTGCAATCACTCTCCCAGGCTTTCCATGGTTGCTGGGGCAACTAATAAAGAACACTGATTTTTTTTCTTTCCCAATGTAAGCCCCAGGGAGGAGGGTCAAGCTGAGGCGGGGAAAATACTACTGGGATGGGGAGGAGACTGTCCAATGCTGCCTTAAAAATAACAGGAGCTGTATCCACTCCCTACTCCCACTTTTCTCTGGCCCCACCCACTTATCGTGGCAGACAGCTGAGCCCGTGGGCCATCTGGCACCCTAGTCTTAATGACACATGTTCCAATTTACATTAAGCCTTTAGAGCTGTCCATTTCAGCAGGAAAGTTTACACCCTGAGCTAGAAGCTGGGCTCTAAGTCAGAAAACAGGCAGAGGGAGACCTCTGTGGGGAGAGCTGGGCATAGCGGTCTCAAGGCCTGGGCCTTGCAGGCGCCAGCGGGTCAAAGGCTGCTCCCCTTTTGCAGCACTTAACCAGGACCAACCAAACAGCAGACAACTCTGCATTTACAAACAGCCTTTTAACGTAAGGACAATTTTGTGTACCATAACCAGTCTCTTCCTAACAATGCCGTGAAAGGGCAAGTGTAACTAAAACCCAGGCCTTTGCCCAGTTACAGTAAAAGCTATCATTAGGAATAATGAAGAACATCCTCAGACTGACCCAAGGATAATCTGGAAAAAAAAAAAAAGTGCTAGCACTTTCATGTCCAAATGCTCTCAAGTCTACTACTGGAAACTGCATTAATTTAACATGTACTAACAAGGTTTGCTAATTAAAAACTAGGGTGTGGGAACTTTTTTTTTCTGCAAAGAGACTTCATTCATTTTTAAAATTAGGAACTGAACGGGAATCTAATATCTTCCAGCAACAACCACAAAAACTATGGTTCTAGTACTCTGGGAATGTGGAGGATCAGCAGCAGCTGAGAAAAAGACAAGATGAGAGGAAAGAAAGACAGAGATGCTTGTATGAATTAACAATCTCATGTAGCAGACTTTAAGGATATTACCGGTAAAGACTCAAAGTTATATGTTTTATACCAGTCTAAGTGGGAATGGAACCTCCTGGTATTTTCTCTAAAAATCAAAAGTAATGTTTACATTAAACATAAAGAGCCCTTTAATAATGTAGTATTTGCTGATCCCAGAAGTTAAAGGATTATTAGGAAATCCCTGTATATGCATTTGTGTTTAGTCACTCCGTCCTGTCTGATTCTTTGTGACTTTTTGGATTGTAGCCCACCAGGTTCCTTTGTCCGTGGGATTTTTCAGACAAGAATATTGGAGTGGGTTGCCATTTACTCCTCCAGGGGAGCTTCCCGACCCAGGGATCGAATCTGTGTCTCCTGCATTGCAGGTGGATTCTTTACCCCCTAAGCCATCAGTGTGTGGGTGCTCAGTCGTTTCAGTAGTGTCCAACTCTTTGTAACCCCAGGGGCTGCAGCCCCCCAGGCTCCTTTCTCCCTGTCAGTGGGATCGTCCCGGCAAGAATACTGGAGTGGGCTGCCATGCCCTCCTCCAAGGGATCGTCCCAACTCAGGGATCAGACCTTCATCTCCTGCATTGCGGGTGAATTCTTTACTGCTGAGCCCCGGGGAAGCCCCTAATTTCTCCCAAACTCTTGGTTTGAAAAACTACAAAGGTCTCTATCAGGAAGCTTACCAGCCAGCCAGGAATACAGATCTTGAGAAACTAATTTGAAGTTTGATGAAAAGGAAATAGAAGTGGATATAAATTAACCTAACCTGAGGAAATGCCTTTGAGCTGTGACCTAAGACTAATTAAGGCAGAAAAAAAGGAGTGGGTCCCAGCACAGGGGCTGGCAAGTGCAAAAAGCTGAAGCTGAGAGAGACCAGACTTCTTTCAGCTCAGTAGGAAGTCACTGCTAGATAGGGAGGTGAGCCTGGAGAACTAGTTAAGCAGGTTACCAGCCCACAGGCTATGTGTCCTGAGAGCCATGGTTTTGGACTGGGAAAGCCATGGCACAATGACTAAATTATCCTAATTTCAGAAATCTGAATTTACTGTACTTCCTGTTCCTAGGCATCTGACTATTGGGCTCAGTTATAAACTATTCCTTTACTCTTGAGCAAATGCCTCAGTTCCCTGCTCTATTTAATACTGTATGCCCTAACTGTTGCTAAGCATTTATATACCTCTTCATTTAATCATCGTAACCAGGAGAAGCAGGTGGCGTTATTACAAGATGAGAGAACTGAGTGAAGTATTTGCTCAAGGTTCCACAGCACAGGACATTGTGTCAGAGCCAGGACGCAAATTCCAGGGGTCTGACAACACCTAGCACCGGGGTTTCCAGTAAGATACTAGTCTTCCCCTTAGGGAGCCTGTAGTCTAGTGGAAGATACACAATAAATAGGTAACTGCCACACGATGTGATACAGAACACCACAGGAGCGCACAGGAGACCTAACTTAAGCTCCCACTGAAACAGTGTTTAAGCTGAGAGTTGAAGGATGACACGGGGGAAGGGCTAACGTCAGCGTGTCAGATCAACGGAGGTGTTGTAAATGTAGCCACACCCACAAAGTGAATTTGCAAATCCACTATTACTATGACTATGGCATTCACTTCTCACATTCACAAGACACAGAGCCTAAACAGACACTAAACCTAATTTTTCCAAGACTGTTCTTCGCTGTAAACAAATACAGAAACTCTCTCTCCATAAATTCAGGAAGAATAGTAAAGTTTTGTGAAATCAAAATATGTAATAACTAAAAACAGGCACTTATAGCCAAAATGCACCCACTAGCAGAGGGCAGGGGCATTTCCAGGTAAGTGTGGACCTTCCTTCCTTCCTTCCTTCAACCTTTGCCCTTATTATAACTCTGCCTTATTCAGAATCATAGGAGTGGGGGAAATGTCTTCTCTAACTCTGCATCTTCCCAAATCTACACAATGCCTCCCTTAGCTATCGCTCAATAAACCCTTGTTAAGTATATCAATTCCCAGCGTTTCCCCTTCTGGACTGGATTCCAAACACTGTCTGAGGACTTCGCAATATAGCTGAGAAAAGGCACACATATACACCAAAGCCTATGGATATGGCCCCAAACTTTCCCTTTTTTTCCTTCTTTTCCTTCCCTTGTCCCAAGGGGAAAAATTCACAGATAAACACTTTTCAATCTAGTCTAAATAAAAAGAGTAGAAACATTTAACTCCCTATTACAAGAATTTTCCTTAAAATGAGACTTCCTCTAAAGGCTTTCTTTGCCAAAATGTCTGCTTAATTTACTCCACACAGCCCTGCCAGGTGATCTAACAATCTTTTCACACACATTTATGTCATTGAGGTACCATCTGACCTCTAGTGGCGTTGTTAAGGGACACAGTGCACCATGGTTACTCTGCTTTTATATTCTGTATTGTAAACATGTTGACTAGTCAAAAAACTGCAGCTGAAAAATAAAACACACCACAAAAGATCAAGCCCAGAAGGGTTAAAATGGGGCAACTCTGATAGAAGTTTCACTTAATACAAATGCTGAAGCCTCTCTAACACTGGAATTGGACTTAAGTTCTTTGACCTGCTCTGAAAACTTCTACAGTGAGTCAGTCCCATTCTCTATTTCAATTGCCTCCTACTGACACTTTTGTTACAACCCCAAGTTCAACTGGCACACAATCCACTCTCTCAACTTTGGACAGTCCATGATTAAGTCAAGCCAGGTGGCTCAGTGGTAAGGAATCCACCTGCCAATGAAGGGGATGTGGGTTCAATCCCTGGGTCCGGAAGATCCCCTGGAGAAGGAAATAGCAAGCTACTCCAGTATTCTTGCCTGTAAAATGCAGGGGGTTGCAAAGAGTCAGACACGACTTAGCGACTAAATAACCACCACCACAACACCTGAGAAGCCATCATGCTTACAAAGTTCCCAGGTACACTCATTTTGAGCTCTCTTTGTAGAGGTACAATTTCAGAGTTTACAAGGTTTTTTAATCCAATGTGAACAAAACCATGGAACTGACAAACTCAGTAATGTAGGAAAGCAATTAAGGAACCGCTTTCTTGTGTAAAAAGTAAGTCCCAGCATTAGATGTAGTCTGGGAACAGGATCACTGTGAAAGAAGAGAAGCTGATCGGGTTTCTCACACATGCACAAGGCTAAACTCGCTACTTTCAGATCTTTCAACTATCTTATAAAAATGACACTGTGAATACACCACCCCGAAAGCTGATCTCAGAATGAAGAATTGCGTAGCAGCAACAGGCAGAAAGAAGGCTGGCTGTGTTCTGTCTCTCCGTGGCCGAAAAACCTTCATCTGTGGATGCGGGAAGATGAAGACAGGGACTTGTTCTGAGATGAAATCCAAGATTCTTGACCTCATTGCCAGTAAACTGCTTATTTAGATGATCCCACATCCTTCTCTATAAAAACAGCATTCAACATACCACCTCTCTCCATTTTCCCTGGAGGAGTGCAGTACTAAGTCACCTGTCTTCCATGGTAAGAGTGCTTTATATTAACTTATATATAAGTTAGGTACAGATAACTGAAAAATTGCCTAAGAAAGGAAATAACACAGTAGTTAAGTGTGAACCAACTCATAGACTGCTAGGCACACATGCCCCCTAATCAACATCTCCAGAATGTGGACAGGGTCACCATCCCCTGGAGTCAGCGGAAGTATCACCCAGTGGATGCCTGAATAAAGACGATGAGGCTTGTACTTGGCTTTGAGCACGTTAACCTGAACAAGACTTTATCACCATTTTGCAATTTTCCTGATGGAGATCAGTCACTTGAGGCAGAGCACAGACCCCGAGTCACAGTGAGTGTGGAGCAGGTGCCAAAGACCACCGAATCCCGGCTCCGTTGGGATCAGTGAGAGGAAGGGAGCAAATGAATGAAACCCAAATTGGCTGTGCCTCTATAAGGGAGCCTGGGACAATGGCTCTGTGTCCAGGGCCCAGCACAGCGCCTGGCACAACACAGGATATCAGTAAATACTTGTGAAATCAGTGAACAGCAGTTTCTTTCATCTGCACTTTTCCAAAGCAACCTCATGTGACTTGACGCTTTTCACGCTGTTAGACGGGGACTATCAACCCCACCATGTAAGTGGGGAAATCTAAGCTAAAAACCGCCTGTCCGTCAAGTCTGCGGCGAGGAACACTGGTCCACACCGTGGCCGCAGGACACTTAAACTCCAGCCACGCCCACCCCACATGCACCTCCTCTACTTACACGATGCCCTCACCTCGCGCTTCAATCACCCCAGGCTGGGGCCAGGGCACAGGAGAGATCTCCTGGCCTCCCCCAGGCCCGAGCTCGTCACAACTACCTGCCACCCCAGACCCAGCCCCGAGACCTCGCCCCGCCGCCGCCCTCAGCCCCTGACCTTTTTGTCCCAGATCTGCAGGGGTTTGCTGCCGATGCTGTAGAGAATGGAGAGGAAGCCGCTCTGGAATGTGTTTTTGAACATCTTGCCGGCGGCCTTCTCCTCAGCCTCGCCGAAGCTGACCTAAATATGGGCACCAATTGGCGAAGGCAATACAGGGGGCTGGCTGGTCCGAAGAAGGGAAGCTGAGCTCCTGACCTCCAGATCGGCGGCCACAGACAGCTGGACTTGGACGCGTGACACTAAGTCCCTGAACCTACACTTCCAAGTGAACCAAACCACCCGAACACGGAAACCACAGCAACTGCCGCCAGCGCCTCACTCCCCTCCTTAAATGGAGGCGGCGGGCCTCCCGCCGCAAGAGATGAATCCCTCCGCTCCCCTGAGCCCGCCTACTCAGAACGCAGAGCCCAATCCCACCACGGGGATCACGGACTTCCTGTTCCTTTCGCTCTTAAGCCCCGCCCTAGTACCGCCTCCTTGGGAAAAGAACTCCCTTGCCGAGGGACTATTTTCCCATCGTTGTCCCAGAGCCGATTTTGGAAAGCGGAAGGAGACAGTATAATAGAATGGGTTAGCACCTGCGTGGTGTCAAGGGAACCTGACGGGGATGGAGTCTAAGGGCCTGAAGGCCAGGTTCCGCCCACTAGGGGCTAGGAGGAGTTACAAGCGGAAAAGTGGGGAAAGGCAGGACCTGGTGTCCTGAGACTAACAGATACTTGCTTGTTGGCCGAGTACAGGATAAGGTTAAAGCAGCTAACCAGTATTGAGGAGTAAGTGTGCTAAACGCCTTATAGGCATCATTGCTTTAATTATTGACCGGGTCGCTAATGAATATGCAGCATAACCTGCAGAATGAAGTCAAAGCAATCCTTGAGGAAAAGTTACCACCTTAAATGCGTGATTAGAAACAAGAAGGTCTGAACATTAAATGCAGAAATTAATGCAATTAAAATTAAGTTGGTTGAGTTGAATCAACAGGTGTCCTTTTTTTTAAATCAATTCTTAGATTCATTTTTAAAAGACATAAACTATGATATTTCAAATGTGGAAGAAACACCAAATGTTGGAAACCACTCGCTGAGCCTCTAGTGTATGAACTTCCAGTCCCTCTGTTTTCAGCCTTCCTTCCAGGCTCCATGTCAGTCAGCCCACAACATTCTCTACTCCTGTTAACCTGTTACCCTGGGTCAAGTCCAAATCCTGTTCTATAGTTAAAGTCCTCAGAACTCACCAGGGGAGGAATCCAGGTTTTGTGGTGCCTACTGTGATCAGGATTCCCCGGTGGCTCAGGGGTGAAGAATCCTGCAATGCAGGAGCCATAGGAGACTTGAGTTAGTTGTCTGGATCAGGAAGATCCCCTGGAGGAGGATTCTTGCCTGGAGTATCCCATGGACAGAGAAGCCTGGCAGGCTACAGTCTATAGGGTCGCAAAGAGTCAGACACGACTAAAGTGATTTAGCATGCACACACTGACCACCTCTATTTAAGACAGTTTTGTAATATCATTATGTAATTAAGAGAATAGGATATTTGAGTCTTCTTAATCATGACTGATAGAATGATTCATAAAACATGCAACTTCAGCCACATATGTGTTGCTGTTTGTGCTAGTAGCACTGCTCCTTGTTTGTGCCCTCCAAACACAGGGATTGATCAATTCTATTTTGCATGAGTCTTATTTTTTAAGTTTAAAAAGGAGAAAAAACATGTAGTATGTTTAACTATATACCCTGCATTTTTTACTTTATTTCTGATGGGAAGGAAATTCTGTTTTGATCCAGCTTTGATGAGACTCAAATCTTCTGCTTACCTTTGCAGATTTTACAAAATCATATGAACTACTTGAATAAATTTCTAAGGCCCCTGCCAGGGCCTTGGAAGGGACACAACAAAATCAATCAAGCAAGCTGATGGGAGAAAATGAAAGTGCTTGCTTCTCTTAACTACTCATTCTCAGTGAGTATCCATGTGAAAACTGTGTTCAGTTTTTCCTTATGTGGGGGTTCAAAGTTTACTTATGATCATGGCCTTGGCTAAGATGATTTGATGATTTGATCAAAAAAGGTATAGAGGACATAAGTGAGTGGGTTTGCTCCTACTGTAGACTTGATTTTGGCAAGCTCCTTCCAGGGGCAGACTGTGTCTTATTGGTACATATCCCCTCACCTACCACAGTACCAGCATGACAGACACACGATGAATGAATGAATGGATTAGTGTTAAATGGTTACCTCCGATACTGCCTTCTTTTGAAAGTAATGTAGAACAAATTTAATCTAAAACCACAGATGCCTCTCACGGAAACATGCATTAAACACTATACAGTCAACCCTTGAAGAGCACAGGGGTTATTAACACTCCAGCAGTCAAAAATCTGTGTGTAACTTATAGTTGTCCCTCTGTGTAAGACTGCTTTCTCCATATCCCCAGTTCTGCATTCTCAGATCCAACCAACTGTGGATCACGTAGTATTTATTATTGAAAAAAATCAACATATAAGTGAATCCTGTAGTTCAAATCCAAGCTGTTCAAGGGTCAACTCTTATTTCTTCAAGACTGTTTTCTCTTCATCAAGAAAGCTAAGGACTAAATACATGAAAACTCTTGATATGTTGCTTCCTTCAACGATTATGATGAAAGCAAGGTGGATGAGTCAGTTTTAAAAAGTAATAAATGAAAAAAGCAGAATTTAATGAGGTAGTAATTACAATCTAAGTAGTGTATGCAGAAGCTCCACTGATGTTAATCAGGCCATTAAAAGATGCAGAGGAGGTAAAAGTAAAGTAACTGCATGAGGTAAAAGAGATGAGGTGGTCTTGAGAATCCCATTACTATTACTATAGGACTGACCAAAAATTTCCTTCAGGGTTTTCATACATTAGCTTGTATGGGAAAACCCCAAGTGAACTTTTTGGCCAACCCAGTATGAGCAGGAGGGTAGAACCACTGCAGAAGCAGCAACCAGTTCTGTGCTCAGCCCAGAATCTCTGGCCATGAACGAATTAGAGTCCTGCGTTTAGACAGAATATCTCACCTTGGTGGCATAGGTGTCAAAATACTCACAAGATTATGGGAAGTAAATCAAATACACAATATCAGTAATCCATGTCAAACAGAGGAATACACTTCTGATTATTGTGATGTTTTGTTGCTTAAGATATTTGAAATAGCTAACCCATTTAAAGGATTAGAGGATCTGGTACTTTGAATTTAATTTGAAATGCTTAAAGGAATTTGAAATTAGACCTGTAATTATAATTTTAAAATGCTATGAAAGTTTAATTAAGTTTGTAAACAATGTTTAAAAGATTTTGATTGATTAAATCTATGAGTTTAGACTTAGATATGTTAGTATTTGAATGCTTAGGAAGATTTCAGCAGATTTTAGGTCTTTCATATTAACTATGGGAAGTGTTTGTGCAAATCAAACAGATTAAATATGTGGTTTACTTTCAATCTAAGGAAACTAGATTAAGTATGTGGGTAACATGTATGGTTTAACCCTGGAGTCTCCAACCTTTGGGCCTTGGACCAGTATGGGTACCTCCTGTCAGATCAGTGGTAGCATTAGATTAGAAATAAAGTGCACAAAATACGCTCTTGAATCATCCCAAACCACCCCTCACCCCCACCTCAACACCCCCCCACCCCCGGTCCATGGAAAAACTGTCTTCCATGAAACCAGTTCCTGGTGCCAAAAATTTAGGGGACTGCTGGTTTGACCTATTACGTTTTGAATTAATTGAAATCAATCAGAGATGAACCAAAATAAATGTTCAGATTTGCATACAAAACCAAGCAGTCTGTAGTTATAACAGGATTTGTAAAGACACAAGACAAATTAGACTTTTAATCACACAGTTTAATAACTAAGATATTAAAAAAAAAACCCACCTGGAACTGTAGAAATCTTTTAGTGCACAAAAGCCCTAGTTACTTGTGCAAAACCAGTGGACAGCATCTATTCATCAGTCCAAGACCAGAACTCCAAGCGCCTGGCCAGTAAAGGACACAAGGGACTTGCCGCACACTGTAAGGCAGTTTCTTCTTCACCCCTCCTTGCTGATGGGAATGGGGAAGTATAGTGGTGAGATGAGGAGCTGTGCCTGGAGAATCACCCCTTAGCTGGGAGCAAAGATGGAAGGGCACCTGAATGACTGGGGTGCTAAACTGGCAGACCGCTGAATCCTGGCTCCAGCGGTTATATCCGAAGACATTGGTAAAAGAGCCAGTGCCAGACAGATGAAGCTCCTGCTAATCTCAGAAAGAAGTTCAAAGGGGACTGTGTTGGGACTCTGCTCATTTTTGTTATTTTTGAAAACTTATTTTTATAACTTACATACACTAAAATGTACACTTTTGGGTGTGGTTTTGACAAAGTCATATAACCATCACCATGTTTAGGATACATTGCCCTCCAATTCCCTCATGCTGTCTGTCCCTTTGCAGTCAAGCCCCCCAACCCCGCAACCCCCCAACCTTCACCCTTGGGAACTGTGGGTCCGTTCTCCATACCAACAGCTTTGCCTCTTCTGTGCCTATGTGCGTGCTAGGTCGCTTCACTTGTGTCCCACGAGGCTCCTCTGTCCGTGGGATTCTCCAGGCAAGAATACTGGAGTGTGCTGCCATGCCCTCCTCCAGAGGAACTTCCCAACGTAGGGATCAAATCTTTGTCTCCCTCATCTCCTGCATTGCAGGCAGATTCTTTACCACCGAGCCACCAGGGAAGCCTTTTTTTCCTTAATGTCATATAAATAGAATCATCCAGCCTTTTGATACTGGCTTCTTCACTTAGAACAATGCATTTGAGATGCACATTAAAGTTTGTAGAAGAATCTGCGAAGAGTTGCTCATGCATTCCACCACCCAGTCCCCTCTGGCCAGGGATATTTTAAAACATTACTACCTCTCTGCATTCTTAACTTTGAAGGCTTCTCCATAGCATTTCAAACATTAAAAGGCAGCCATTTTTCATATTTAAGATAACTTTTTTTCCTTGTAATTTTTTGGGAAAAGAACTTTAGAATTTGATTCTGAAATTATGTGATTATTTCATGATTGTGACTTGTCATTAATTATCATGAGAAAAATATCATTTTAAAATCTTTATTTCTTGGCTGTGCTACAAGGCATGTGGGATCTTAGTTCCCTGCCCAGGAATTGAACCCACTCCCCCTGCACTGGAAGTTTGGAGTATAAACCACTGGAGCACCAGAAAATTCCTGAAAAAAATATTTTTAAAAGAAAATACTGAATTCTCAGTTCACAGGACTGGAATAACATCTAGTTACACTTGGAAAGTTCACAGACCCTGGGCAGGCCTGACAGAACCCCACAGGAATTCCATAGCTTAAGGCATCATGGTGCCAGCATACACCAGTGAGAGAAGGGAACAGAAGACTGCTTTTTCTGAACAATGCCCTTCCTAAAAAAAAAAAAGAAAAACATATGGCACAGTAATTCTTTTTTTTAAGATTTTATCTCACAAATATACAGACTGTAAAAATATTGTGCAAATTTGTTCACTGCAGCAATACCAGCATAATACTGGTAAGGGTCTAT